ATTTTAATAAGAAAATAGGGTGACACATACATGCAACTGAATTTATGTTGATAGTCTGAATAATACTGATAAATGAAATAGCTCATAAATACTAAAAATTGAAATTGAATTAGACCGAATTTATATTTATCTTAAAGCATTTTCAAACATGTAAAACTAAAAGACGGAATGTAAAACTAGTCATTGTGATTTTGAATTTCAAATTTTAAAAGATACTTCAAATCTATTTTTCAATTTTATTATATTTACAAGTCTTAAAAGAAATATTCTTTTTACTCTACAAAAATTAAATCAAACACAACTTCATTTTTAATTTTTAACTTTATAAATTTTAAATAAAAAAAAGGGAATAAGAAGATATATAAAATTATGACCAAATGTCTACACAATCATTTAAATTTGCCTAAATTAATCTCTTGATTTTCATTCTTTCATAATTATTCTAAATCAATTTTATTGATCTTATAAAATGACAATTTATTCTGAGAAAAAAGTATTTTCAGGAATATCAATGCAAAGATTTTTCTGAGTTCTGACTCCGCATACGCCTTGGGGAAAAATATTTATTGGGACTCTTTCCGTTGTATGTTTACGGTATTAAAAATATCTTTTTTATTTTTATTAATTTATTTTAGCATTTATTGTATTTATTTTTTTATTTTTTGTTAGTCCAATTTAGCATATTAATGAGAAAATGCACTATTAATTAGAGCTGCGTATCGGTCGGTTCGATTCGATTTTGGAATTTATCGGTTATTGGTTTGTAATCATGCTAAACCGTTATGGAACCGTTAAGATATCAGTTTATCGGTTAGTGACCGTTATCGGTTCGGTTATCAGGTTAACCGTTAACAGTTCACACAATTTTCATTGACAATTACTAATGGACAAATCATTAATTAACAGTACGCAGCCAATAGTCATTGATAAACTTTTCCCTATTAGTCCATTACTACATAAAACACTTAATAAAACTCCATATTAACCTGGATAGAGATGTCAATATTGCCCAAACTGACAAACTCAAAAGGATTCCTCGTAACAACCAAGCCAATTTCATTATGAACTATAAAGAGAAACCATTACAACACTACTAACAGAAACCATTAATGATCATGAGACCATTACTAATAAAAACTTTTTCATTGCAGATTGTAGTATTGCAATATTGCATGCATATCTCACTGACTCACTCACTGTAATGAGAAGATAAAAACAAAAACTTAAAGTAAGGGAACCAACCATTTGAACCTCAATTTAGACACTTTAGAGAATGACATTCAATATAACTTGCTAGTGTGGGAGCAGTGACAGTGAATCAATGAGTGATGTCGCAACTTTGAAATATTATTGTGAAATTTGAGTGTCAACTATGAAGTCATGGTAAAGAGTCTGAAAACTGAAGTGTAAACCCTAAAGGCTAAAAGTGCCTGAGGCCTTAAGTGATATAAATGTAATTAATTAAATTTCTTATCGAGTTATTGGGGCACCCGATTAGAAATATGGCCAAACCGAGACTCGAACAGATAAGCTGGTAAGAAGTTTATAGTAAATCGAGACCCGAACCGTTAAACTATTAACCCGAAACGTTAAACTATTAACCCGAACCATTGACCCAATAACCAAATTATCAGTTTGGATTATCGGTTTCGGTTCGATTTTGAACAACCCTACTATTAATATGAAAATATGATCAATACATATATTTTATTTATTATTTTTTAAAAAGTGTAAATTTCATGTAAATAAAGTAAAAGGTTGGAGTGTGTGACCATAAGCATGTGAAAATTCCTTTTTGATTTGGGTGGTTGTGAGATTTGATCTCAGGATCTCTGCCTACTTGAAATATGTGATCATCTTATCTAAAACTTATGTTGTTAGAGAGAGTACAAATCTATTATTTAATTATATTCTCAACAAAATAAACCAATCAAAATAAGTAAGTATTAGTTTGGCTTTCTTTACATAGTAATTTGCAATTTGTTATACAATATATAGGTATACGTTCTCAGTTTCTGATAGTTTCTCTACTGCTTTAATTTACGTATCACACATATATAATCTTGTTTAATACTATATATATATCTCCCGAGATAGAGTATGGTGGTCTTTTTAATTTTTTCATTCGGTGTTCAATATTTATATTAAAGTCTAATTGTTTCATTTTCGGCTTTTCACCCGCCTTCCGGGAATCTAATATATATAAGGAGAGACATGAACAAAATAAGATAGTAGTAAAATGACGCATTATTTTGAAAGATTTGGATTGTAATACAACGTAATCAACCCCAAATGTTTCATTACAACACTCCTAACTATAAATGACACAAAATAAATAAAACTAGATCCATGCATAAACAGGATCAAACTAATTAACTCCACCTCATCTTTATTATTCTTCATCTCCTCATGAAACTCTACCTAGCTAGCTAGCTACTTCCATATTGCACTGATCATCTGCGTTACTGAACCCTGCATATATTCAATACCACATTAACCAAGTAAATTAGAACATATATAGTTACGTATAATATGACTAATAAAAAAAATACTCCATAATTTATGACAACACAAATATTTAAGAATTGTTTTAGATAGTGTCAGATATATACCTAGTGCAGTCGGTGGAGGGGCTAATCTTGTAAGGGATGTTTACGCCACAAACGCTAGGAATACCAGCAGCTTTACCAGCATCAATGCCCTTAATCACAGTAGCGGCTGATTTGAGGCAATTGCATGCCATTTTTCGGTCGGCTGGAGTCTTGGCTGCACCCAAAAGACCCTTAATTCCGCCACAGCACCCTCCGAGGGGGCCGCGGCCGGTAAGATAAGGGAGGCAAGGAGCCACGCCAGATGTAACCTGACCACAAGTCATTGCCTCTGCATGGGGTGCAACCAGTATGACTACCATGCACAAAACAACAATGCATGCAATTTTGCCAACAATTTCCATGCTTAATGAAAAAAAGATATTAGAATATTGCAAATGTAATGTGTTTTGCTTGAGTGTTGTGTGCAAAAGATAGTGAGATTTTTGGGTATTTATAGAGGCCCCAAAAATATGAAGTGAATAATTAATGAAGGAGTGATAGAATTTGTTGGTAGTTGAGGTTAAATTCAATAATAACGCTTTTCGAGGCTACACATATAACTCTTTTTTTTTTTCTTTTTTCGATCAACGTGATGTTAATTGAACCTGAGACTATGTATACTTATGTTGGACATTCACTTTTTTTTTTAAAAGATATTTATTTTATTAACTTAATTTTAATAGTATAAAATTTAATTACTAATATTTTATGTGATTATTTAATGATAAGATTTAGTATCAAAAGAAAACTATAAGTTTATTTTAATTTGCTAAAATAAAAAAATACTACACCCGTCCACTTTTATTTGTCATGTTGCGTTTTTCAAAAGTCAATTTCACTAATTTTTAAAGTTAAATTAGATTACATTAATTTGATATTTTAAACTAAAAAATTAGATATTCAAAAACTATATTAAAAGTACTATAAATTGCAATATCTTGCATATCAATATTATGAAAAAAATACATCATTAAATATTTATCAAAGTTCTTAGAATTTGACTCTAAAAAAGGAAATTATGACAATTAAAAATGGACGAATAGAGTAATTTTTAGTATGAGAATCAAGTACTATAATAAATGGAGAGAGTATATATTGAAAAGGATTAAAGAAAAAAAATAAAACAAATGAATTGAAATAGAAAGTTTACTTTTCCAATGACTTATAATTAATAGGATAATATGTATAAAATTATTATTCTATTTCTTATTTTTGAAAAATATTGCAAATAAATATGAATAAATAAAATGAATGGTGAAAATATTTTGTGCTGCTACTCTCCATTCAACTTTCAAGGAACTGATTTTTCAGGGTGAAAATATAATGTGATCAACGTAACACACTCTTCTAGGAGAGAGGTGTGTGTCATAGAGTATGAAATACTGCCAATCAATGCGACAACAATTCATGAATATGTTATCCGCAGCGAAATCATAAATTTTGTTAAGAATAACCAAAATTTAATATATATACATATGAAAAATAATTTATAATCTATGCACTTTGTATAATTCTTTTTTATATATATTATATAATTTTTTAACAAATGATGTCCAATTGACAATCGTGAACTATATGTGGCTACGCAACTGAATATGACATGCTCACACGTCTCGCGCACCCACCATTATATAGCCATTGGGCCAACTTCCACTTTATGGAAAGTGGCCAGCGGTCACAAGATTTTTTTTAAAAAAAGAAAAGAATTTTTATACTGAGCCAATGGACCGATGGACCGGCTACCGGCCGGGCTAACTGGGCTAATGCCCCATCC